GCTGTCGACGCTTAAGGACCCTACAGGAAGACTCGGCCGATGGGCACTTCGATTACAGGAGTACACGTTCTCGGTTGTTTACAAATCTGGAAAGCTGCACAGCGATGCTGACTGCTTATCCCGGCACCCTATTGATCCACCTAGCTCCACTGATTTGGAATCCGATGCCTGCGTTTTAGCCATTACTGACTTTCTGAACGTGGCTGACGAACAGCGCCAAGATCCATCGCTGCTCACCATCATTGACCGCCTTCAATCGCGTTATGCTGACCCTTCTCTTAGCAGATACCTGCTTCAAGACAACGTTTTGTACCGCCGCAACTTACACCCCGACGGCGCCGAACTTTTACTCGTCGTACCGCATCACCTGCGAAAGGATGTTCTGCGACAATTCCACGACGCTCCAACTTCTGGACATCTAGGGGTCTCCAGAACTTACGACCGCATTCGACGACGAGTATTCTGGAAGGGTCTGTACCGCTCTGTTCGCCGTTACGTCACACCTTGTGACCTCTGCCAGCGCCGAAAGAAGCCTACGACTCCCCCTGCCGGTCTACTTCAACCTATTGAAGTTCCAGCCGAGCCATTTTATCGAGTGGGGTTGGACTTGCTAGGCCCTTTTCCTACTTCTACAACTGGAAATAAATGGATTGCAGTGGCCACAGACTATGCCACTCGGTATGCAATCACTCGAGCGCTACCAACCAGCTGCGCAACCGACGTTGCCGACTTCCTGCTGTACGACATTATTCTCCAGCACGGCGCTCCGACTCACCTGCTCACAGACCGTGGTCGCTACTTTCTATCTCGTGTGGTTGATGATCTACTCCGATCTTGTGCTACCCGTCACAACTTCACCACATCTTACCACCCTCAGACTAACGGCCTTACGGAGCGACTAAACCGCACATTGATGGACATGCTTTCCATGTACGTATCTACCGACCACACTGATTGGGACATAGCTCTTCCGTTCGTAACCTTCGCCTATAACTCGTCGCATCATGAAACAGCGGGCTACTCCCCTTTTTATCTACTCTACGGACGTCATCCCTTACTGCCCTTCGACACACTGCTTTCATCAGACCACCCATCCTCCACCTCGTACGCTCAGGATGCAATCACCCGTGCCCTAACGGCACGTGCGGTAGCGCGTGCTCGGTTATCGTCGTCGCAGACAGCACAGAAGTCTCTTTATGACCGTCGACATAGAGATGCCGTTTTTTCTGCGGGATCTCTTGTTCTCCTGTGGCTCCCATCTCGACGTGTTGGCCTTTGCGAGAAACTACTATCGCGATACGCTGGGCCCTACCGAGTCATTCGTCAGGTCACACCTGTGACCTACGAGATTGCCGCTACCACAAACTCATCAGCTGCTGCTCCCAGAACGGAAGTGGTCCACGTTTCTCGTCTCAAGCCCTACAACGCCGACTCGCTCATTTAACAGGCACCGAGACGGTGCCTTACGGGCCGGGGTGATGATACGTGTATGGAACTGTCGCACCGACACAGCTGAATTGGCACCCAAATGAAGAAGACGACAACGTGGTTGTAGTGGGTTGGACTCTGAAGCTTCTCCCGTTGGCCTGCTTGACTGTGCGCTCTCTAAGCCGTTAGCAAGACCAGCTCTCGGTGAATAAATCTTCCCCGTTACAATATATATATATATATATATATATATATATATATATATATATATATATATATATATATATATATATATATATATATATATATATATATATATATAATAAGACAGGTAGGTTAACCAGAAAAAAACTCCGGTTTGCTACCCTGTACTTGCGAATGGGGAAAGTGGGGCAAAAAGTGAAAGAGAATAGTTGGTGACATAAATGTAGAGGCTGGATCACTATTCAAGTACTAGGCAGCAACGCGTCGTCCGTGACCAGTCACAGTTTGTCTCTTGGTCCGATTGCTTCCGTTAACCACAAAACGTCCTCAGAGTGGTGGCTCGTGCAGACCGGGTAGGCCCAGGGTCCCAGGATTTTGTTCTGTCAGGGCGTGGTTGCCCAGCTGGCCTGTATTGCGGCTTCATCGAGGTCAGCCTATACAAGCATGCATCTGGGTGGCAGTCAACAAAACACGTTCCGCCGCTTCCTTGGCTATCTAATCGCAATTGAGCATGCTTCTGTTTGTAGGGGACCTCAAATCTCTATACGCCCTCATACTTTCTCTCTCTCTCTCTCTCTCTTCGCAGCATTTCTTTTTATCATATTTTATTCCCCTCACCCCTTTCCCCAGTACAGGGTAGCCAGCTGGTCTAAGAACTGGCTAACCTCCCTGTCCTTCCGCTTAAAATTTCCTCCTCCTCCCCTTCCTCCTCCATAACCCGCGAGAATGTTACGTTCGTCGTGCCCTGTATACGACACTTTTTCGCTCACTTACTCGCTAAAACTTGCTGGCTACATGTTTTTGGCCTGTTTTTTCTTGCTCCTTCATGCATAACAGTATAGGCGTATACGGCTCCAAATTATGAAAACCATAAATGCGAGGCATAAGATGTAGCTCATTAATATGCCTGCGTTTTGAACGAGCTCATGTTTATTATGCACTTGTCTATGCGCGGGTCACTTTTTGAAGTTAATCATATGCTATTTGGTTTGTCCGCATCAATATCATTGCTGCATTATTTGGTGATTAGATACTTCTTGTACTAGTTTGAACTCTTTGCCGCCAAATTTGGGCGATGAAATTTCGCGCACGCGGAGTTTACATTTTCCTTCTTTTTTTTTTCATGTGGTGTCATGCATACACGAAATGCATGAAGAGCCATAAATAGCAGTAACGTGCTATCGTGACGACTCTTTAGCGTAGGTTCATCTACTTCGGTGATCTGTCGCCAGGTGCGCATATGTGATGTCGTCATGCATGTGCACACATCTCACCGGAACACACGACATATTGCGTCCCTCAGTGCTAGTTTGCCGTATTATGTTCAAGCGTTCAAGAATGGGACCAAGGTGTGGACGCATTTAAAACACAATTGAGCCGCTGATTAAAAGACACAGAAGGGAGGAACACGAATACCGGACGCGTACCTCGCTTATGTGTGTGTTTTAATTCGCGGCTACATTATGTCTTTAAGTAAGTACCAACTGGGCCAGCAAGCAGTCTCGTTAAAACGTATGGACGCAGCTGTGAATAGCATCCTCACTCAGTTTTACCCGCCTTGGCATTGATATCTGTGCAGAGTTTGCTTTGTCAACAGCTATAAATATATAAATGGAACGACTGACTACATTCACTGTCCATAAACACCTAACCTTTTTTTGTTTTTGTAAGTGGGTGTGATGAAGGATATTTTGTGGACTGGAATGCTCATCATTAGCCGTCCTTTGTCTAATCGTTATGAAAGTGTGGTCTGTTTTTCAAACACCACCGCCACAATCGTAAAAGAAAGAGCACAAGAAGCGTTGTGTTGCTTTGCATCCTTTGTTCGCGCTATGCAGAACACGACCGGCACTTCTTACAGAAGTTGTTACAATGAGAAACGGGATATCGTCAAAAAGTATTCACTGTCGGGGAAACTAAAGTCTGAACATTTACAAGCCGAGAGGGTATCTAGAGTTACGGTTTTCGTCGCCTAGAAGAATATCGTTTGAAATATTTATTGCGACAACCTCCATTTCGCCTTTTTTTAGTATACCCATCTACGAGCATTATAATAATGAAGGACCACTAAACAACTTCTTGAAGTCAACGACCGTAATAGCTAAAACCTGATGTTCGTCAAGGATGACAGTTGGGCTAGTTGCTATCGAGTACAGGAACAAGACACGATTACTGGCGTAAAGGCGGCAAGAAGAAGGAACATGGGACCACGCTAGTTCCATATTTCTTCAGCCTGTTGCACAAGGTATTCACTGAGGTTAAATCTCTTCAGCTGGAATGATATGTCTCATTAAGGGAACGCCACCTAAATTTGAATTAATTATTTCTTTTTATATATCAGTTTTACAATTGACTAATAATGATACTGGTTTTAACAATGCATTCGTTACAGCAACGATAAGCTGCTGCACCGTCAACTTTTGCGTGTTTTCCTATGAAATAAGCCGCTTACAGAGTACAGCAATGCCATCGTGCCGCATTATCGCTTTTAACGATGAATTCTAGCTGCTGGATGTCCGTACCGAAAAGTAATGAAACGCTAAATCCTTGAAGACAAAGAATAAAACGAGAAATTCAAGCTGCTGAACCTCCGTCCACAACACCGTCCCCCAGTGCCCCTTCGTATTTTTTGATATGCTTCTCCGCATAAATCTTCGGCACTGCGGCAAAGTTGACTTGTAAAATTCATTATGGCGCAGGTTTGGCGGTGGTTTCGGCTAGTGCACTTTCACTCATACAATTTGAGTAAAAAATTTATACAAAGAAAAATTTTTCAGTATCGCGCTGTCATACATCCACTGGTTTGTGGCGCTTCCGTGAAAGCGCCTGAATTTTCAAGCATGTCTGAAAAATCGGCAGCTTTGTCATCTTTATCACTGATGGTGTATCCCATCGGATTTAACAGTATTTCAAGACAGGTTGCCTTTGCTGCATTACGCATTATTTTTTGTGCACCCTGTTTATAGAAACTATTGTTATAACACTGAAATTTTCATGGTACTTGAGTATTGTTATAAGTGGGTACGACTTCTGTATCTAATTTTGATAAAATTTCCTCACGCCGTGCGTTAACCGCGATCATTTATTTGCCTTGGAGAAATCACCGTATTGCTTGTAAGGCCCTTTTTGTGGGGATCATCTTTGTCCTTCATGACTGTACAGTAGACCGCTATATTTCCTAAGTTTAGACAGCTGGGCTAGTTAGGGCTTGTGTGTTGGAGTTACCAGATGGCATAGTTCACGCATCTGTATACTCGTACATACCCTGTTCGCCATTATCGCGTCACGCAGTTCCATATTTCCCGATCCGTAGCAACTTGCCGATAACTAACGAACGCACGCGCGTCTCTCTTTCTCCTTTGTCGCAGAGCGAAAGCGGGGCCGCCAGACGTACACGCGCTACCAGACTCTGGAGCTGGAGAAGGAGTTCCACTTCAATCGCTACCTGACCCGGCGGAGGAGGATAGAGATTGCGCACGCCCTGTGTCTCACCGAGCGCCAGATCAAGATCTGGTTCCAGAACCGGCGCATGAAGTGGAAGAAAGAGAACAAGGCCAAGCTGGAAGCCGGCCTCGCACTGGGACACGGGCCGCCCGAGCTTACGCACCACCCCGACCACGGGCCGCAGTGAGCCACCGCTGACGCGCATCTCCATCGCCCCCCGTTTTATTACCCTCGCTTTTTTGTTTCTTATTTCGCCCCCCCCCCCCACCACAAGCACCCACCAAGAACACTTGCATTCTATAGCCTTCCCTCCCCCCGCCTTGTGGCTGTCTGCGCGCTAAGAGAGCGAGTCACACGTCTATACACATACACGCACGCACGTCTGTACGACGGTTTAGGCAACTTCTTGTACGAGTTCATTCGCACGTGTGGCGCCTGCACTCGCGAGTCTGCGCAGCTGCCGCGACTGTTCTTCACGCCACATACGTGTAGCATATGTGAGCTGCAGGAAAAACGAACTTGCTGTGAAAACGAGGACAGCTTTTCCGGGGACGATTTATTGGGGAATTTGATGACAGCCAGTTTTTTTTTTTTTAGTTTCGAGAATTCGATGAGAACTTTCGAAGAAGCAGTGCGCCTCAAAACTCTTATTTTGAGGTCCTGGACAAATCTTGGAAGTCTCGGCATACGTTGTTCCTGCTCGCGCGCAGTGGCACTGATGTAACAGTTAGTACAGGCCACGTTGTATGACCACTGCCGAATGCTGAGCCATATAATGTGCTTGCTTCGAGAGCATCAGGTCATTACTCGAGTGAGTACAACATGAGTCTCATTGCTTGTATAGTTTTGTTTTTGTATGTTGAGATGGAGAGCCGTACTTGTTTATGGTTAGCAAGAGGGCCATAAATTAAAGTTACTTGCTCGGGCGAAGAAACCAACTTGTTATCTTTCTGCTGAGCCCGAATATGAGTGTCCAGGAGAAGCATTGAGGACATACCTCTTCAGCTGGAATTTGTTTGACCGGGGCTATGCGATGTTTGCATTGAGGTTGGAGTTAAGTAACTCAAGGATCCTTGTGCACCTTGTTTCTGCAAAATGAACAACTTTTTTTTCCCTATTGGCCAAAGGGCACTCATGACGTCACCAATCGGCTTATGTGCATCATATTGCTTCCTTCATACAGAGCACGTGTGAATCAGAAAACTCATAATCATTCATTACAGCGTTAATTTTGGTTACGATTGGTTATGCGACAATTCATGTGAGGTAAAAATTAGGATTTTAATAACATTATGCTATATAGGCATAGTTTACCATCTGGAGCACCAAACACACTAATTGTGCTCCAGAACGTCCCCCTTATATTTCTAGCCACATAAGAAACGGAATGCTCTCGAAGTCCGGCGTGTTTTGAGAGTTATGACCTTCTGTGATTCACAATGCGTCACTCTGATGAAGCAGCTGTGCGTGCACGACTTCGCCTGCGGCAGCGGCTCCTACGGAGCCGGTACTTCAAGCCATCTGCGCATGCGCCAGCGCCGTCTTGTGGGTGACAGCGTTTACCGCTCGCTCCTGTCATGGCCTCAGAGATGGCGGGCGCGCGGCGTGTCTGCAATCTCGGAGGCCATCCTGCAGTTGTCGGCGCCGACATGCAGCTGTAGGCGGAGTGGCGCATGCGCACAGGCTTCAGCATGTATCAAGGATTTAAAAAAAAAAGGTTTCCTATTTTGTTTGACGGTAACCCATGGGATTATCCACATACGTTTTGCCATTATACGTATTTTTTCTCCCTTTGAAACATACCTTCTAGCTATACGTAAAGGCTACCAAATATTTTTAGAGCACTTTGATATAACGATAATGCATTGTATAGACTCGCTCTATCACTAGATGTATTCACTATGCCGCATATACGTAGCACATGACGCATAATGACCTTTTATTTTTACACAAATATAAATATGTATTTATTAATTGCATACCCCCGACTGGAGCACCGTTACCCAACGAAATTTGTACTGTCTATATAGTGCGATATACCGTACATACGTATCCACTGTGACCTTTTGGCAAACTATACGTTTATAACGGCGCTCCGATTCGTCCGAAAAATGCAAACGCCACTCAGTGCAATATCTGTGGTTTTACCATTAACATATTTGACATGCAGCTGCGCAGTTCACATGATAATGTAATCATTCACTGTGAATCGACTAAGCATACCTCCGCATCATGTCCCCTCCTTTACCGTCCCTCGTCTTTTTTCCGTCGAGATACTAAATTAGCATTCAGGCCAAAGCGCAATGGCTGTTCCGAGCCGCCGGGCACGTTTGCATTGCGACAACATGACCATCGGGGTTTCATTCGTAGCCTGAATTCAGTGATGCTTTCTGGTTCAGAGGTAGGCGGTTTCGCATAGCCCGAGCAAAATTTTGAAAATCATGACAGGCCGAGGTTTTTTTTTTTTCGGTGCTGCTCAAGGGGCATCGATACCCAGCAGCCGTGTTGTCTTAGAAAGCACGCTATTGGATTACGCTCTGTTTTACAAGGTGCTGTTCGGGCTTGCCAAAACGAGCACTGGTGGATACCGCGCGCTCGTTACATTTTTCGCCAGAGTTACTTAGAATTCAGCTCTAACCAGGACCGGAGCGCAACTGTCAGGCAAAGTAAATTTTCGCTTAGTGGACATTCCTTTTTCGTTAGATTGCGGGCACTTCAGCGGCATACTGAGCTGCGAGAGCCATGGTATGGGTGACCTTGAAGTCATACCACCACGCAACAAGGATGCCCTGCACTTTTTTTTTTCCTATGCGAGGTAATAGTTATAGGAGTGCAAAGAGAACAGGTTACAATGACGAACCGCCCACGCCGCAAAAACACTTGTTTTGTGTTTTTTTTTTATCCGGTCGCCTTTCTGAATTCCCTCCCTTCTTCCGCGAAAGGTCCTACCTGTGTTTCGAGAACTCGTTAAAAAGAAACGCGCAAGCCAGTCTGCCCCCCCCCCCCCCCCGCCCCTGTAGGCTACGAATGCGCAAGGTTGTGCATTTGCGGCGAAGCATTGGAAGGACGGTCAGTTCTCGCCAGCGCGAACCCCCGCGGTCACATCGGCGCCCCCCTGGAGATACCGTGGTGGCGCTTGCGTAGGCGCACACCTTTGTGTCCCGAGAAGCTAAGCGGCGCCTTCTTTTTTCACCCCCCCCCCCTTCCCCATTGAGCACCTCATGCTAGCGACCACCACTCGCAGCGCACCCCTTGCATGCACCCCTGTTGCGCAACCACAGCAAGAAAAAAAAAAAGCTTGGCAAGCGAGATCCACCACACAACCACCACAACGCAACATCGGCCCGGGTCTGGCCGGTCCCGCGAACAAAAAAAAGAGTGACACGACGCGGGTGTAAGGGTCGTCCGACGGCTGCCATTTCGCGCCTGGCTCAGCAGCTGCCGATCTTCGTCTTTCTTCTCTGCCTGTCTGTGTTCCTCGAGATAGCTTCTACACTGCGGGCGTTCCGACACTGCACACGCAAAGTGCGCAAGCTTTCTTCTCCGTTAGCACATCCGAAGAGGTGATGCGCGGGGAAGGCACCCCACGCGGCGCCTTCTTGCCGGGAGCGGAGGAAGGGCGTCCGCATCATCTCGAAGCAGGACGGCCCGACGCTGTTCTGCTCCTGGTACTAATGCTGGAGGATCTCCTTTCTGCTGCTTCGCTACTGACAACCTATATTTCGCATGGCAACGTACTACTCCCTGGCGACTTCCGACACGCTAAATGGGCTCGACTGCAGCCGCCTTCTTCATCGTCGCGATGTATGAACGCGGACGACACGTCTGCACAGACAATGCTGCCGACTGTGGCGCCTTTCCCCTGTTGTTCGTCCCGCTGTCCTTCTCCGACGCGCAAACTCCTTCTTCTGGTCCAGAGTCACCGTGAGACGTGCGACATGGGAATAGGAAGAAAAAAAAAACAAGAAAAAAAAACAAGCTGCAGCTGGGCGTTGAGAAGTCCCCCATGACCTTAGTCTCGAAGAACTGGTTGGTAAAATACAGCCGCAGTGTTCGGCTGCGCAAGTTGCCGTGTTCCCGAAGACAAGCAGCGGAAACTGGACTCGATCAGTCGAAGCTGTCTGGGACTACTACAGTGACTGTGTTCACCTGCTGAATTCGACTGTCCAACATTCTTTACTGAGAGTACGCAGTGCTTCGTGTTGCCTGGTAGGCGGCAACGGTACATATACACGTATCCAGCGCGATTTGTGTTTGCCGTGTGTGTGTGTAACGCGCCGCTGGTCGACGGACGTGTGCGATCACCGAGGCATCTCTTCGGTTCATTCTTGTCTGTCCCTGTGTACCCGCTATACTTCGTGATTCGAGGAAGTGCGTGTATGTGCGTGTGTGACGACCGTGTCCCGGCAGAGAAGGCAGTGCTCACAGTCTTTCTCTCTCGCCCTGCGAAAACGCGCACACGTGTTGTGTGTGTGAGTGTGTTATCTTTGTGCAGTCGTGAAGCGTGTTGTGCGCGTGACGAAGAAAGAAAAAAAAAATACGTAAAGCACATTTGTCGCGAAACGCATCATGTTTTGATTGGTGTGACGCGTTGATGGCGCTCTGACTTTCTTGTGCGTGTACCTGTGTTACGCTATTCTCACTCGTCTTTATTTTATTTTTTATTTTCCTGGTGATGAAAGGGAACTGTTGACTGTAAAGGTAATGTCTATATGGTTGTGTCATGAAGTATGCCGTGACCCTTGAATACTTATCCTTTTGTTTCTTGAGCGTACTGCTGTATGTAATTTTTCCCCCCCAAGAGCAACATAGTCGTAGGCTCTTCCTTGTCTGCTTGGCCATGGCTTGACACTGCGGTCATTCATATTCATTCACCCCTTGTATTTAATTTTAGACGCGGGTAAGTAAACTTGAAAATACTCACGCCACTTCGATCATTCAACTCTTGAGCTTGTGAGTGCGGAGTTAGTGATGTTGTGTTTCACGCGGAGATATGTCGGTTACTGCTGATTACTAGCTTCCATTGTTTTTTTTTTGAAAAATATTCTGTGATGATATTTTTCAGCACTGTACCACATGGTGCTTTGTATATTGCTTTTGACTGCTCGAGATTCAACTTCTTCATTCTGAAAAATTAAATATAATGATGGCGCATGTTTACTACTGTCTAGATTTTCATGTTTATGTTGCTGCGTGTTACTTAACT